GCCCCTTGTTGCATCAGTCGTCCCTGTGGGGCTGTTCTCAGAGGCTGGGGCTATTCAGTATAAGGGCGTCAGAACCTGTCTCTACCATTTGTTGTAATGAATTGTGTGATCTCCTGCAATTAGGCACAGGGCATTCAATGATCATTAATGCCGCTATTATTATAGCACCAATACTGTTCAGCTTTTAGGCACCAAATGTCAGGCAGAGCATAACTAATGCACCCAGATAGTTCTTGTCACCCTGCCAGTGATGTTTTAAGTCATGATAGAATTACCTTCCAGAATAATGTACCATTTCCTCCTCCCTCTTTTCATCTCTCTTCGCTTTGTTTTGCTTAAAGAAGCAATATAAACCTGGGATTGGCGAGACAACACTTTTCATGAGTTGGTTAGGGACTATATAACTGCTTTTGGGGAAAATATTTCTTACCATTCTTATTTGTATTCAGTAATTGGTTTTCCTGTATACACACAGGCAGTGCTAGAATAATTTTTCCCCTTTATTTATGGCAGAGTTTTTATTTTAAAGTAATAATCACAATCTAGGCATTTCATTTAAAGCCGAGCTGGTGTAGGAACTATAAAAGATGATGGGACTTCTTTCCTTGTGATTTTAAAAACAAAAGTAAAGTGCTCTGCACTTGAGTTTTATGTAATGTGAAATGCAAACAAAAATAAGCACTGTGTTTTCTTGAGGAAGCAAAGGAACAGAGGATTCAAGGGAGTCAAGCACCATGGAAAGTTTTGCTTTTAAAAAGCAAAGTAAAACTTTTTCTTTCTGTAAAGATATCCTTGTATTCCATTCCCTCCACCTCACTCAGGCGATGTCTAGACAGCAGAGTTTTTGTGCAAAAACTATCATTTTTGCGCAATGACTCGCAGAGCGTCCTCACCTCAAGCACGTCTTTGCACAAGAAAATCGACAGATGGTTGGGGTTTTGCGGTGTAGGTTTTCTTCTTTCTAGGAGGAATAGCTCCTTTTTGCAGAAGAGTTCTTGAGCAAAAAGGTGTGTGTGGATGTGGAACTGTTTTGTTTTGTTCAAAAAACCCCTATTGAAAAAACCACAGGTGCCCTGGGGGCCATTCTGTGAATAGCTATCAGCGCTTTCTTTCGAGAAAGCGTCCATGCAGTCTGGACGCTCTCTTCTGCAAATGCGCATCGCTTTTTTGATGCGCTTTGACAGCGTGGATGCTCTCTTGCGCAAGAAGTTTTTGCAGAAGAACTCTGGAGTGTAGACATAACCTCAGTCTCCCAGCCCTTGGTCCAATTCTCTTCTGACGGTGTTATTTCCCAGTGGTGACTTCGGTGAAGGGAGCGTCACCAAATAGCTTTTGTTTTGTTCCAAAGGAAGAACTGGCAGACATTTTGGAGGAACATTTGGGAGCTGTGAGTGTGGAGATTCAATCACTTTCTTTTTCCAATCCTGCTGACCAAAGATAATTTCAGATTCTCTTTGGCTCAAGCGCTGTTTCTCTCCGGAGACAAGCAGCCTGCTTTCCCCTCAGAACGCCAAAGGCAGGAGCCTGCATTAGTCACCAAAGCTGGGTGAGAGATCTTGCCATTGAATTTAATGGCTTTGGACTGGATCCCTAATTATGTGCCCTGATTTTCAACAGCACTGAGCATCCAGCAGCAGTTCCAACTGATCTTGATTGAAATTGGTGACAGCTGCTGGAAACTCAACACTTTGGAAATCATAGAATCATAGGACAAGAAGGGACCTCAAGAGGTCATCTAGTCTAGCCCCTGCCCTCAAGGCAGGACCAAGCACCAGCTACATCATCCCTGACAGGTGTCTGTCCACCTTGCTCTTAACTATCTCCAGTGATGGAGATTCCACAACCTCCCCAGGCAATTTATTCCAGTGTTTCACCACCCTGACAGGTAGGAAGTTTTTCCTAATGTCCAACCTAAACCTCCCTTGCTGCAGTTTGAGCCCATTGCTGCTTGTCCTGTCCTCAGAGGTTAACAAGAACAAGTGTGCCCCTGCCTTCTTGTGACAGTTTTCAAGTGCATAGAAGGTTGTATCATGTCCCCTCTCAGTCTTCTCTTTTCCAGACTGAGCACATCCATTTTTTCCAGTCTTTTCTCTGGGGTCATGTTTTCCCTCTCCTCCGTACCTTCTCCAATTTCTCCATATCTTTCCTGAAATGTGGTGCCTGGAACTGGACACAATACTCCAGCTGCAGCTTAATCAGCGCCGAGCAGAGTGGAAGAATCTCATCATGAAGTTACATGTCCAACTATGAGCCTAGGGATTGAACTTTAAGCATCTGCTTCTTAAAATATCAGTTGCAGGTTTAAGCTCCGCAGTGTTTTAAGTCCAGCATGTTCATTTCCATGGTGTCTTGGCCAGGATAAATGGACACAGGGCCCGATTCTCGTCTCTCAGCAGCTTTACATGGGGGTGAGGGGTAACGCCGTTGGCTGGAGTAGAGGGGTTCCCCTTTACCCTAGTGGAAGTGGTGCACTCGTGGGAGCTGCTGGGAGGATGAAGCAGGGAAATGTACAAAGCTGCAGTCATGAACACACCTTGCTGACCTCTGGCTATGGAGCCTTTCCAGAGACCTTCTCCCCACTCTGCCTTCTCCAGCAAACAGTCCTAGGAAGTCAACCCTCCGCCCCCATCCCAGCAATAAATCCCTGTATTTCATTGCCCCCAGGTCCATGCCCTTCCTCCATCCCGTGTGGGCTAGGGCACGCTGGCTGTAAGCAGGTGTGTTTACACAACTATACAAATATGCAAATTATCTCCTTGTGCAACGTGTGTAAGCGAGCCACAAAACTCAACCGCCATGTTTGAACCTGGGAGTGCTCTTGCTGAAAGCACAGGGGCGCCCTCACCGGCTTAGAGTTAAGCCAGCACTTAAGTGGTTTGCTGGAGCAGACCCAGAGAGCGCAGACAGGAACTAATCGTGCTTTCGGTAGCACCTGCAGGCCACATGCTCAGGTGAACCGCGCAGCATAGGTGGGGGTTTCAGAAGCACACAGCACGAGCCCACCCTCATTCCTGTTGCAGTCAGGGTGAGCTTTACCACTGACGGAAAAGAGTTAGTGTGGTGTAGTGAGGGGTGCTGTCTGCTCTGTAACCCAGTGGGGTGTGGTGGGGGTACCTTTCTGCTTGCTGGGCTTGGGCAGTGGGCTGTGGGTGACCCCCACTGGCGGCTGTTTGTAGCACGGCCCAGTAGGACAGAGGATGAGTCACTAGGCAAGGGGCTCCCAACCTGTCCGACCAGTTGCCTCCCAGAGAGAGACAAAGGGAGGAAGGCGGGGTCCAACCCCTGGCTGGGGGCAGGGCTGGAAGAGAGTTTAGTTTCTGTCTGGGAAGCAGGGGAGAAGGGGCTAGGGTGGGGGCTGGGATTGCAGGGCCCAGCCACCCCCCATCTCAAGGGGGGCAGGATGCTGAGGCCTCCTAGCCCCAGTTCCTGGAACCAGATTCCATCTGTGCTGTATCTTGGAAAAGCAATAAACTCCCTCAATCCCACTGGCTGGAGGAATCTGTTCGTGCCACTATGGGGGTGCAGGAGACGGGGAAATACCAACGCGCCGTCACAGTTAGAGCCTCTCCAAAAATTCTCCTCCATAAATCCAAGGGGAAATCCGGCTCGTTGTATTGGCCCCCACGGTCCTGCTGATTTCAAAGGGACTCTTCGATACTCGAGTGGGGCGTCGGTACCGCGTGACTATTTAGAATGGGTGTAACCTTAGAATCCAAGGAACTGCAAGACAAGATGTTGCCAAGTGGCCCAACCTGCTTCATGTGCTTCTGTTGTTCCCTGCTTCCCTTTCCCAGCTCCCCCGGCTGTCAGACAGAACGGCGCTCGCTCTACCGTCCCGCCTCATGCCTCAGGCCTAGATCTGCGAGTTCTCATGGCTGCCACCCAATCCTGCTAATGATCCTGGCACCCGGCCACCTCCTCACGATGGTGGCCTCTTCTGTCACTTGTCAGCTAATGACACCTCGCAGGCCCATTACCCTCGTGTGCAGGCAGCAAGGCCTGGAACACAGTTCTAGTTTTTATTTAAAAAAGGGCACCAGATGCTGCCTGCCTCTTGTCTTTATGGTGTGCATGGGAGTTGTGGGGGTGCTTGGGAGCTTCCAAGCAGAAGGGTTTTGTCAGTTGTTTAACCGACTTGGTTTGTCGTCATCTCCCCTATTGTACATGTTTCCCTTGCTATAGAGCACACCGCTTGGCCTGTCTTTCAGAATAGGCTGGGAGTTCAAACGCTTATCAAGGCTTTGGATATAGAAATCATAGACTCCTAGAACACTAGAACTGGAAGGGACCTCGAGAGGTCATCGAATCCAGTCCTCTGCCCTCACGGCAGGACCAAGCACCATCTAGATCATCCCTGGCAGATGTCTTCATAACCTGCTCTGCAGGCTGCATCATTCTCATGGCAGTCTGTTTCCACTAATGGTACATTATTCTCCATTAGTATTCAACAACAGGAAATAATCCACAGAAGACCAAAAAAATTACATCTGATAGCACAGCATAGTTATGACATCAATGAGCTATAATTTATCCAGCAACCAAGGAATGTAAACCAGCCCCATGGAGATTTCCCCACTCACTTTGTTATGCAGCAAACCCCTGAGTCTGAGGGTACAGTCGACGAATGAAACACGTTCCCTTGGTTCTCAGGTAGAGCCAATCCTGACCTAAATCTAGTACTATGCGAGTAGAAGAGTAGAATAGATGATTTTTTTTAAAAAATAAAACATCCCATAAAAAGTCATTTACTCACATGCCGCTTAGTCTGTAGTCCATGGGATAGGTGGGTTTTGGCACATTATACACACCCACCCTGCCCCTTTTACGTTTGTTACCGGAGGGGGAAGAGTAGTTGCTCAGGTAGTTGAAGATATAGACACATTATACACACCCATCCTGCCCCTTTTACGTTTGTTACCGGAGGGGGAAGATCTGAGTTCGTTTTGGTGATTGCTGTGCTGACCACTGGAGGGAATTTATTCGGTGTGACTCTTTTCCAGGCTGGCAAAGGGGCTCACGGAGGAAGTTTCCGGGAAGTTTTGTGGCCGCCTTCGTAAGGATCCATTGCCCAAATAACGCTGGCACACCTTCCAGGTAAGACAGAAAACCACTTTAAAAAAATTAAATGTAACTGTTTCCCATTCTGCTTACACGACATTTCAGCCCCTGAGCTGGACTCTGCACTCCCCAGCCCTGGGCATCCTCGTTGACCCTGCAGGCCTCCGCACCAGACCACTGTTACTAATGGGTGCAATGGTGTCCAATGCCCCCTCTGCCACGCGTATTGGCCAAACCGGACAGTCTCTGCCACAAAGGATAAATGGACACACATCCGAAATGGTAATGCACACAAACCTGAAGGGGAACGTTTTAACCTGCCAGGGCACTCAGCCCTGGATTTAAAAGTAGTTGTTCTTCTACAAAAGGAATTTCACCACCCAATTACAGAGAGAAAGTGCTGGACTGGAATTCATTTGCAAATTTGACACCGTTTCCCTGGGCTTGAACAGAGACATTAACTGGTTAACTCACTTTATAGCCAAGTTCCCTTGCTTTTAAAATTCACATTTCCACATCAAAAGTGATGACCAGGACACATCCAGCCCACTTAATTCATTTAATTAATATGGGTCCTTCAATTGACAGGTAACTGCTTTTTGCTCTTCTATATCTCTTGGTTTCTGTTATTTCCACTCCAACTCATGTGAAGGAGTGGGTTTTACCTGTGAACGCTCATGATCCTGTATATATTTTTGTTAGTTTGTAACTCTAAGGTGCACAGGACTACTCACTGTTTGTAGAGACTAACCCAGCTGCAGAGACCAATGAGCACTGTGTTCCTCAGCTCAGAGAATGACACCCTTTATTAGAATGAGCCATGGTCTGTCGAGTGACTGGACCCCTAGGGATACCTGTGTGTCTGTAACAGTCTGTGCTGTGAGTTTTCAAAAGCACTCAACAGGGGTCTCTCTCTGCTCCCACTGCTGCGCCGGGAAGAACATGGATTGGCGTCGGTGGGAGCAGAGCCAGGACAATGCTGACTGCTTTTGAAAATCCCTCTCGCTGTGGGGTCTCACTCGAAGAAGGTGGCTCAGGACAAAGGTCAGAGAAACAGCTGTGAAGCTAAGATTCCTCAGGGCGATGGGGCTGCGTTTTCTCCAGCCATTGACTTTGGTGGGGCTGTGGCTGCAAAGAGATACTCACCAATGGGGGCGTATCAGAGGAAGACCATGCAGGACTAACAGTCATTTAACCTTGACTCCAGTTCACACCTGCCTCTGCAATTAATCCCAGTGAAAGGAGAGGGAGGAAATGCATAGAAAGCTAGTAACTCAATATGAGTCAGGGCTGGCAGAAGCTTTTTGTCACCAAAACTGGGTGTTTTTCCTGACCAAAGTTGCATTGCAGTGTAAATGCCCACACTGTTATTTCATCAACTCCGCAGCGTGCATCTCAACTGGATTTGTCATCTGTATCTTCCCTTTGAGAATTTAGTCAGGAAAGGGTTAATTTAATAAGAATTTTTATAACGCAAATAGCATTGCTTAATACCATTAACACTTTACAAAAATAGCCCTTTAATAGTTCCAACACTTGGACTTCCAATATGGCCTATCGCAGTTTCTCCATCAGAAACTGTCCATTGTCTGTGCAGGTTTCCTCTACAGTTTATTCCTTAGCTATATTGAGATGTTGTTGGTTGTAGTTTGTCATGCAGCCTTTGCATTGTTTTTAACAGGTGCTAAGTGCTTTTTCAAAATCTGGCTTTTAAGGGACTAAATGGAGCGCTGTTGAAAAAAATCTGGCTTGAAAAGCAGTTTTTGCTTTGTGAGTTGCTTTACATTTATGTGAAAAGTAATTGTAGTGCAAAGCTGTGTTTATACAACGGTGTCATTGTAGCCTTTAACTTTAGTTTTTATACATGGCAAGTAATAATAGAATTAGAGTTCATAAACATTTTTTATTACACATTGTGGAAAACATTTACTGCTTGTTAGTCAATGAGCTAAGCTTCTGGTATGGAAACAGCACAAATTTAGGGTAAGTCACATCTATGTTTATATGGGTGTTAATGACAGAGTGAGTCTTCAAAAAGCACAGAATCCAGCCCCTTCATTTTACAGAACTCCAAATCTTTCTGAATTCTGTATGCCGGGTAAAGTATCGAAAAAACCAGTCTTTCTTTATGTCTGAGAAATGGGTCCATTTAAAAAAAGACATTACAACAAACAACAAGCGAATAAGCAATGCACCCAAAAAGTAGGTGAGCCACTGTAGGTTGCCTGGAGGACTTATCTGAAACTCTATTCTGGGATGGGATGAAGCAGGGCTCTGAGACCTGCAGCAGGGGGCATTTGGCTATAGTCTAGCCCATCAAACTTCCCAACCCCAAACATGGAAATCAGCCAATTAGTCCTTGAGCAGGTGGTTAAGATCCAGCAGACAGACGCCTGGGGAAAAAATGCCTATTCAGAGGTGGGCCATCTGACACTGCAGCATTATGGTACCATCCTCTCCTAAACTTACAAAACTCAGTCTTGAAACAAGTTCGGTGTTTTGCCCTCCCTGGACCCCTTGGGAGGCTGTTCCAGAAATTCACAGCTCCGTTTAGACACCTTTGTCTACTTGTAAACCAAAACATATCCATGGCCAATTTACATCCACGTGTTCTTGTTACTTTTCCTAGATAATAAAGTAGGGTTTCCCACCCAAAATGCAGTCCGCTACAGAACTGGCTGGTTTCACGAGAATGATGATCTGAAAATTGATCAAAGATCCTACTCCTCAAGGTGTTTTCCTTAGTGCTTGGATGCAGAGGGCCATTCCTTAGTGCCCGTCTCCACGAGAAGCGCTATAGTGCAGCTGTACCAACATAGCGCAGATCACAGTGGTGCTTAGGTCAGCGTCACTTAGAGTGCGTCTACACAGTGTTTCTTAAACTTTTTAAGACTGAGGAACACCAAACAATATTTTTTTTATTTATGAGGAACACCAAGGATTTTGTGTCGAGAAAAAACAAGGTCACCTGCCCCTTTAATGGTGGCCATTTTGAATTCTCATGTTCTCCATGGCACACCTCAGACTGCCTCGCAGCACACCAGTGTGCCGTGGAACAGAGTTTAAGAAACACTGGTGTACACAGCAAAGTTATTTCCGTATAACAGCTGTTATTCCGAAATAACTATGGGAGCATCTACACAGCCATTTCATTATCTCGAAATAATTTTTTAAATAATGGCTTATTCAGACTTCTGTAAACCTCATTCTATGAAGAACAACGCCTATTCCGAAACAGCTATTTTGAAATAAGGCGTGTGCAGATGCTCCACTTCTGCTATTTCAAAATAGCCCCTCACCAGGGCCATTCTAAGTTACTCCTCCTGGGGCTCTAAATCGAGATAACATGTCTACCTTAGGGGAGCCTGCCTCAGACTCATTTTGAGGCTTCCTTGCAGTCTAGATGTGCTATTTTGAAATAAGCTATTTTGGAATAACTATTTTGGAATAGCTTATTCCGAAATAACTGTGCAGTGTAGACATAGCCTTAGGCAGCTCAGGGATGGTGTATTCACACCTCTGAGTGACAAAGCTATTCCACATAAGCGGTAGTGTGTACAAGTCCCCATGCTTTGTTATACTGAAACAGTCTTTGGCAGGGAGGCTGAGAGCTTCTGTGGGTCCCTGGCAAGGTATACAGGAGGGGGCCAGCTCTGTGCCCCTGGAAGGGGTGGGGCCTCAGGCAGAAGGGGCGTGTTTAGGGCAGCCACCTGAAGCACAGCGCTGGGCCCCACCCCCAAACCCTTAGAGCTGTATGGATCATGCAGAGCCACAGCCTGGCAGCAGTTTCAAAGGCTCAGGGTTCTGGCTGCTACTGATGCCGCAGGGATAAATGGAGAGGGGGCAAAATTACTTAATATAGTTGAATGCAAAGTAAACTGTGAACAGGATCTCACAAAACCGGGTCAGGGATGGTGTAGTCACACCTCTGAGTGACAAAGCTATTCCACATAAGCGGTAGTGTGTACAAGTCCCCATGCTTTGTTATACTGAAACAGTCTTTGGCAGGGAGGCTGAGAGCTTCTGTGGGTCCCTGGCAAGGTATACAGGAGGGGGCCAGCTCTGTGCCCCTGGAAGGGGTGGGGCCTCAGGCAGAAGGGGCGTGTTTAGGGCAGCCACCTGAAGCACAGCGCTGGGCCCCACCCCCAAACCCTTAGAGCTGTATGGATCATGCAGAGCCACAGCCTGGCAGCAGTTTCAAAGGCTCAGGGTTCTGGCTGCTACTGATGCTGCAGGGATAAATTGAGAGGTGGCAAAATTACTTAATAGAGTTGAATGCAAAGTAGACTGTGAACAGGATCTCACAAAACCGGGGTAACGGACAACAAAACGGCAGATGAAATTCAATGTTGATAAATGCAGAGTAATGCACATTAGAAAACATAATGCCAAGTATACATATAAACGGATGGTGTCTAATTAACTCGGACCGCTCGAGAGAGAGAGCTTGGAGCCATTGTGGATAGTTCTCTGGAAACATTCACTCCGTGTGCAGCGGCAGGCAAATAAGCCAACAGAATGTTGGGAACCATTGGGAAAGAGGTAGAGAAGAAGGCACCAAATAGACTCGTAGTGGAATATCGAAATATATGACAGAAAAAACTCTCCTGTGTCAGAAGGGATGTTGACTGTTATAGTGAAAACTGGCGTGGATTTGACTGAATGTAGAGCTGCTGCGAGTCACGGGAGTGTAGTACTTTTATTGACAATAATGGTATTTTGAATGAATGCACACATATCTAGCCATCTTTGAGCTATGTTTGGCCATTGTTACTCTCACCAAGGAGTACCTTGCTCAGTGTGTTGTGTCATTGAAATCAAATTACATAGCTGGAGTCGACATATCTTGCATCACATTTCCGTACCATCCGCACAGTGGGAGGCTGACAGGAGCACATGCTCCCATTGGCTTCCCTTGCTTGTGAGGAGCAGGAATACTGGCACTGGCAGAGGTGTCCTCTAAGTTTGATTTAGCGGATCTCTACTAGACCTGCTAAATCAAACCCCGGAAGATCGACGCTGCCGCATAGCATAGA